TCCCAACCGTCCCTTATCTTTTCACGTGCTATTTGGCTCCTTTTCCCTAGCCCCGCGCCCTTTCTCCACAACTAACCCTCCAGAAAAGGCCACCCGGAAGTGCAACAGAATTGATGGGAATGCAGATCTTCTGACTGCCATTTGTTTCATCTGATCCTGTTATCAGCTCTTTTAGAAAATAAAAACCTAAAGCCAAGTCTTAAAAACTGTGTGCCACAGTTCTTTCACTTATAGTTGGCCCCTTTGATTGCCAGGCAAATGAGCCTGCCATGTTATTGTTCCATGAAGAGTTAAATGATATACCATTTAAAAATTGATTTTAGGAAATTGAAGTTTGACAGTTGTTATAAAATCTGTAACCATGATTTTTTACAGTCTTGTTTTTAGGAACGCACATATAATGTTAGTGATGTTTTTGACTCCTTTAAGCGGTTTTCAATTGTTCCGTCTGAAATTAACATTAAAAGAACCTACAATATGTTTTGCATCGATCTAATAGAAAGACAGAGTGCTCCCGCAGACTCAGAAATATACAACATAAAAATACGATTATATTATATCAATTTTCGGTGAACCACGGCTGAGATAAGGTCACACTTGCCGCCGCTTGTTCAAAATCTCATAAAGTAAGACCAAAAGAGGGTCTGTACCAAATTTGGGACATATACGATCAAAAATGGCTGAAATACAGGTTTTGAGCGCCTAAAAGGGTGTTTTAGCCCACTGTGCGTACTTCCCTCCACCGCGCGCAGCAGCCGCACGTAGAAAGCCGCTACCCCCACCCCTGCGCGCCAGCAGCTCGCTGCGGCGCGCTCGGGGCAGGTGCTCGGAGCCGTGCAGCCCCCGTCCCCAACAAGTCCGGTAGTCTCGGGGTAAGCGTCCGCGCTAAGATGCTACAGGACCATGGTTCAACTCCTCCCGGCGGCGGGCGCTGAAGCGTCCTTCCGGCGAGAGGGAAGCGGGTGCGAAGGATATCGGAACACTCGGATCATCGACATCACTCAAGCATTTTTTTTTTTATTTTTTTTGAGGGGGGGGGGGGCTATCTGACTGCCGAGTTTGTGATGTCGAGGTATCATCGGATTCCGATGTCGAGAAATCATCGGCTCCGACTGTCGTCCGACCTCGGAAGTTGTGCCATTTCGATGACGGAGAAACGTCGGGGCCGACAGTCGGTCGACAATTTTAAGTCGAGGCACCGACAGTCGACCGACATTCTGTCGACTGATCTGTGCTACTAGGGTGGGGAGGGAAGTAGTGGGCCAGGGGAATGTTTAATCAGCGTACTCATCCTCTCTGTTGGAAGTTTCAGGAGCTGAGCTTCCGTCCACTGAGGTATGTGGAGGTGATTTTGTCTCATTCCCATTTGGATTATGCACTTGATTTTAATTCAGATCCTGAAATCCATTTATTAGCTGAGCGATAGCGAAGGCGAAGCCTGTTACTCCAGTGCGCACGGTAAAAACGGAACCTGGTTTTCCCAGGACGCTAATGGGAAAGGCATAGGCGATTTCTAGGGAGCTCCTGGGAAAACCAGGAACCGTTTATACCGTGCGGTTGAAAAGTTTTGTCTGTGTGTGTGTGTGTGTGTGTGTGTGTGAGTACACTACTCCTGAACGGCTCGGCCGATCTGGCTGAGATTTTGCAGGCATCTTACGTATGTTTTTGGCTCGGCACACGCGAAATTTCACTATCCTAGCTCACGTGGTTCAGTTTAAATAGCCGAAAAACACCTAAAAAACGGCGAAAAATCGAGTTTTCTGCAGGCAGATCACTTCTGCCTTGGAGGAAGGGGGTTCGGGGGCGGGGCTGGGCGGAGCCCCCCCAGCCCCGAGAAGCTAAAAAGTTGCAAGGGTCAAGATCGTGTTATCTGTAGACCGGCTACCGTAACAACATTCCTACAGGACTGCGAGCTTAATCACGTGAGAGTGATCTGGATCCCCGCCGAATGCCCCTGGCAGTGCCTTCGGGTCACCCCAGTAACTGAGATTCAGGCGAAGGCGTGGGACTCAGTCGCCGAACTGCTGGAGGAGCAGGTGCTGCCGTATGGCGAGCGGACCTGCCTGTGCAAGTAAGTTCCGATGCCAGTTGCCAGTATGTGACCATCAGACATACATTGATACATTGCTTTTGCATGTTACAGCGAATCCATCGTTTTCAGGGCTGTCTGAAGTAACTTCTCCTTGATGAGCCACTTATGACCTGCCTGTGCAAGTAAGTTCTCATGCCAGTTGCCAGTGTGTGACCATCAGACATACATTGATACATGTATACATTGCTTTGCATGTTACAGCGAATCAAGACGTTTTCAAGGCTCTCTGCAGTACCTTCTCCATTTATTTGTTCTATTTTTCCATTTGGTTGAACTAACATTTATTTGTTTATCTTTATCATCATTTATTTGATGTATGTGCTATTTGATGATCTTTATCATCTTTATTTCTATAATGTAACTTATGTAAGTAATATTTATTTGATTGATAAGATTGATGATAAGATTGATCCCCCTCCCCCTCCCCCCTTGAAAAAGGAAACGACCTCAGCCTTCTAGTTGTTCTCGTCTGAGTCGTGTGTGTCTGGTGCGCGTCTAAGTCTGGAATACAATGAGAGTGCTACGAATACGTGTCCGTCCCAACAGGGGAAACTGTTGTAATCCACGATGGCTACCATTTTTATGTATAAAGATCTATCCCATCCAAGAAAAGACTACAGCTAAATGCGTCCACTACGTTAATGAACAAAACGGCTGCCATGTGCGTGCAACTTGCGATCTGGATTTCAAGGACGTGGAACTGTCTAAAAGTCTACTCTATGTAGAATGAGGGGTCTGGGGGCGGGGCCCCATTTTGACAAGTTAGAAAGCCGACCATGGCTAGCTATTGCTGCCGAAGATTTTTTTTTTCAAAATATGATTTTACGCAAGATTTGTCTTATGGTCGATAACGATATCTTTGTAGGTTAAGCCAAGAGGAAGCATTTGCTTTCAAACATTGACTAAATTTTGTGCTGACTTAAAGCGTACCGAATAACCGTACTTGCCCGACTGCCTGGGCCTCCAAAACCCACCTGGCAACCTAATATATACAAGGCAGCGTTTGTAGGACGCTGGAGGTGAATGTAACGCCTCTGAATCGGTCAAAACCTAAAAGAAACGATGGAAATGCATGTGTCCCACTTTACAGCCCCTCAGAAGATTGCTTCCCACCGTAAAACGAAGCGTCGGAAACAAATTTTCTAAAGTGCATCTTGTAGATAAAAGAACGCGCTACAACATGTCTGAAGTCTAGAATGGTCCGAGCATCAACGGCTCGAAGCCCCGAATCCGCGCTAGACGTCTGAAAAAACTTCTCTTTTTTTCTGCATCAAATTCCAAATTTTTAGATTTTTGGGGAGGGGGTATGCGGGAACAAGACACTCTGTGCGGATATGGTCTTGGAGGGGTCCTACCGTCTCAAAAACATTTTTTACCCCGCAAAATATCCACGCGTTGGCCGTTTACGGCCTAAAATAGGGAAAATAGTCAAAATGTCCCACTTTAGGGTTCGTGTTCACATTTAGGGGACTTGACGGTAACTTCTCCTTGATGAGCCACTTATGACCTGCCTGTGCAAGTAAGTTCTCATGCCAGTTGCCAGTGTGTGACCATCAGACATACATTGATACATTGATACATTGCTTTTGCATGTTACAGCGAATCAAGACGTTTTCAAGGCTCTCTGCAGTACCTTCTCCATTTATTTGTTCTATTTTTCCATTTGGTTGAACTAACATTTATTTGTTTATCTTTATCATCATTTATTTGATGTATGTGCTATTTGATGATCTTTATCATCTTTATTTCTATAATGTAACTTATGTAAGTAATATTTATTTGATTGATAAGATTGATTGATAAGATTGATCCCCCTCCCCCTCCCCCCTTGAAAAAAGGAAACGACCTCAGCCTTCTAGTTGTTCTCGTCTGAGTCGTGTGTGTCTGGTGCGCGTCTAAGTCATGGAATACAATGAGAGTGCTACGAATACGTGTCCGTCCCAACAGGGGAAAACTGTTGTAATCCACGATGGCTACCATTTTTATGTATAAAGATCTATCCCATCCAAGAAAAGACTACAGCTAAAGTGCGTCCACTACGTTAAGAAGAAAAACGGCTGCCATGTGCGTGCAACTTGCGATCTGGATTTCAAGGACGTGGAACTGTCTAAAAGTCTACTCTATGTAGAATGAAGGGGGGTCTGGGGGCGGGGCCCCCCAGCATGCAACAAGTTAGAAGTAGCCGACGATGGACTAGCTATTGCCTGCCGAAGGCAGGCTAGCGCCGCAGGCCAAGGTAGGTACGCCAGGCGCGGATTGGAGGAACAGGCCGCGAGACATCGCGAAGCCTGTTACGACAAGACGCGGTCTGGCGTAAACCTACCTTGTAGTTGCGGACATAATGGCTGCAAAACACTAACCCTACACTGTTAAAAAAAATGTCGTTCCTCAACGACTTCTAAGTCGTTGAATTTCGTTACGACTCAGATTATTTTTAAACAATCATATTGTAGGGTTGTTGTCGTTCTGGTACGAAATTTTTGTTTGACAACAAAATATTTGTGTGAGTTGCTCCAGACCTCATCAGCCTCTCACTTGTTTCAACTATATTGTTCAAGAACGACAAAATAGCTTAGGCACGAGAAATATTGTTCACCAACAACTCATCATCGTACATAAACAATCTCATCATCAGTGCTCATTGGTCATCATCTCCCTCTAATCTGCCAGAACCATGTCGTCCAACAACAACAGAATTTGCTCAGAAACAAAAAGCATCGTTCAATAACAGCCAATATCGTTACATATCATAGACTCTTATCATGATCTGAGTCAACGCAACTTTCTCGTTCAGTAACGGAAGGTTTGCTTGAATACGAAAAGCTTCGTTAACAGACTACTTATTCGTCAATAAATTAAAAGTTTCCATGGATTTACTAAAAATCCAGGATAATGGTTTTACACTTACCTCCTGAGAGCAGGTCATTCCTAGTTCTCATTGACCAAGGTTCCTTAGGGCACTTAGAGATGAATCCGCCATTTTAGTGGTTTGCATTTACAATAAGTGGGGCTTAGCCTAAATGGAAGTCTGAAAGAAGCCTATTTAACCCCTCTATGATGCAAGCCCCAAACAAATACAAAAAGCTTTTGGCAATCCATGTTGTTGAAACTAATAAAATATAAGAGCGTGAAAACATTGCTATGCCTGAATGATTTCTAACTAGAACACGAAAGAATTGGGATCTATTTCTGCTTTCTTCTTGGGTTTAAACAACTGTTGATTGACAGGTCGCCATGTTTTGCATGTACAATGTGCAATGGCAATATGATTTTGTGTTGTGGGTGCTGGTTTTCTCATATACTTTGTGCGCTCAGCTGTATTTCTCATACAACCCGTCATCGCAGCGTTTCTCAAATCTCGTCTGCTACAGAAAGCGACGAAAGCGTCCAACAAGTCAGGTCAGAAGGCTTATCTTTTCGTAAGATAATTTAAAAAAATAAGTTCTGTTAAAAGAATGAATTTTTCCCAGCTGTGCTTTTGAATAGAAAACCAAGTTTCCTGCTTTTTTGTTTATTTATAGTAATGCATTGTCTCCTTGTGTGTCCTGCTTCATAAACTCTTCAACTTTGGACACTTGAATTTAAATTGTAGCAGTATAATCTCTTGTTCTTTCCTGATGTCGATTTTTCACGATGTTACATGTGGCGATTAGTCGCATTACAATATAAGTTCTAATGTATTGGTTGGCCCCAATTTGCACATTTTTGATCCAGACAGCTGAGTCTGAGCATTTTGCTTTGCTTTGGAAACGAATGAATCATGGTTGAATGAGTGAATTATTCTGGTGTTGATTGATGGCCTTTCTCTGTTTTCAGACAGTGAAGAAAGGTTTGAGAACATTGGAGAACAGCAGCACAAGGACTCCATCGGTGGATGTAAGCAGGGCGGCAGGATGATGCAGTTTAAAGGTTCGCACCATCATTTCTAGCTTTAATGGTATCAGACATTGATAGACAGATAGAAATCACATTTTCTTGTGGCAGTCAGCCTTATGTTAGGTCTCAGACCCCTCATTGGTTGTCTAAATAAATGTGAAATTTCCTAGATCCCTTTATCTGAGTGAATATTGACAAACTGCTAAGCAGCATTAATAATTTGTAGCTCTTGGTTTCTTCGCTGTCACTTGGCAATCCAGCCTTTTGCTATCAAACAAGCTGATTTGTTCTCTTTGTTCACCAGTCATTATTGTTCTGTTCGCAGGAATATTCAGCCTGCGAATCACTGGTCCATCAGCACTCCTTCATTAGTCATGAATTGTCTGAATTAATGCATGAACTATGCTTTCTACTGCGGGCCAACTGAAGACCTTCAATTTTCAGGTATACTTAACATAATGTCTAATATGCATTGCAATTAACTGAAGTGAGATCATGCTTTCATTAGGGATGAATGAAATTGGTAGCAGACACATAATTTCTCTCCAATCCAGTCAAATATTTTTCATCTTTTGCTTTGGCTGAAATTTTCTCGCGTTTATATAAATAAGTTAGCTAATCTGTTTTCTTAACCAATTTTCTCACAATTCCACACATTATTTCTTGTTATAAGTAGGGTTTGTAGAAAACTAGTATGGTATGCTGTACTGAAAATGCCACATTATTGTCAAATACTTTAATGCATTTTGAACCAACGTGCCACTTGAGATTGCTTTCCACATCACTCACCAGCAAAGAGGGATAAAATACGTTGAATTGGAGTTAAATAAAAGTGTGAAAACAGGAATCTAGTGGAATAGCAACACTTACCAACTAGGTGAAACTAATAGTCTAATGAATAGATATTGAAGTAAATTGGAATGCTTAATATTTCATGGGAAACTTTTAACAATAATATTGTAACAGAAAAAGAATTCTTTAGACACATAATCAAGTTTTGCCTTCTGCACTAAATTAACTGGTTGATTAGATGGTTTTGTTAAGCATACTGTATCTGTCTTTGTTTTTTTTTTTTTTTTTTTCATAGAAAAGAAACCACCTGCCTGCTTGTGAGTGTAGCTTTCGTCCTTTTCTTATTTTGCAGAGACTGTGCACTGCTGTTGTGGAACAAGATTGGTGATAGCATATCCAGTTGAGCATTTCTTTTGGAATCAATTTGTTTTAGTTATAAATGGTTGTACTACAGGGGTTAAGAGAGAGAAAATAAAATACTGTATACCTTACAAAATGATTGTGTTTTATTTTGAAATGGCCTGACAATGTTGTAACATTTGAGAACAGTTAAATCAAAGAACTTGTTGCACATTAATTTGGTCCTATTTTTAATCAGTTCAGCAACTTTTTCTTTTTGAGAGAATTATGTCAAACACAAACTACTATTTATATCTAATTCTACTGATAGCTTGACAAATCATCTATCATATTGATGATAAAAAAGAAAAGTTTGACTTAGCAAATGATTTACTTCTTTACCTTTAAAACCCATGTAAGTTAAGAAAAGACATGTTCATACTGCAGTAACTTGAATAATGGCTTAACTGTGGACAATAATTACTTCAAACAGCAGTGAAAAGCAAAATAACAATGATTAGCCACTTGGCCAGTAAAATAACTTAAACAAGAGAAACAGCTGTAGAGATTCAAAGAAATTCAACCAGAGGGTAAACACATAAAATCATCAACCCAATTTACAATTAATCAGCAGTGAAACATGGTATGTAACATTGCAAAATAGATAAAATTTACAATCTATTAATACATGGGAACACATTTTGACAAATCAATCATCCGCCTCCTTGTACTCCAGAACTTTGTTCTGAAGCTTCACTACTTTCTCATTGGATTTTTTTGTGATACTTGGAGTCAAGCATTTAGTGCCCTTAGATGGGTTTATTTGAGCAATAACTCTAAACAAGAGAAAGAAAGAACACAAACATTAAAAAAAAAATTAAATAGAAAACAGTTTAAATCCTTTTTTCTGGTATAGAGTGGTGGTAGGTTTTTCTCACCTTTGAGTAAAGCACAGAAGGCATGACAGGCCAGGAGGGAAGAAAATATTGAAGACAAAAAATGACATAAACAGAAGGGAGAAAGCATCTTGAATGTTCTTGCCAGCTGCCACCAGAGTGTTGTCCACAAAGAAATAAACTTTGTCATTGTCATACAAAGAATCTCCTGTACGCAATAAAGAGAGTATGAAAATTATAATAATGATCTAAACTAATACATGTGCAATTAAGTATAAAACTTACCAGCTATTACAAGAACAGGAGTTTTTTCAGCTGGAAGAGGAGAGTACGTCTTCATGTCTTCCCAACTGCTTGTCTTCTGAAAGAATAAAACAAAAATTGTGAAACAACTCTTGTGAATTACTTGCTTTACTAGTAATATTTTACATACTACTGACCTCAGTAAATCTGACCAACAACTGAATATCATCTCCAAAGTGTTCTACAAGCATCAGCAGGAGTCCAGCCAGTCTGGCAAAGGCACACCCCTGCTTTTCACTGCGTTCCATTTTGCGCTTTGCTAGGGCAAGGCTCTTAGACTTAGTAGCTAGGTACTCATAAACATTATCAGCTTCTTCAGACATGTAAGTGGAAAGTTTCTCACCAAAGTCAACATCAGTTAACAATTTAAAGTGGGTCTCCATGCCTTTGATTGTGAACAAGAAGGGCCAATCACTCTTTAAACCTGGCATGTTAGAAGGAACGTCTTCATTATCTGCTACATCAGAATCCCGCTGCCTTTTCTTGCCACGTTTCCTTTGAACTTGATCAGGTAAGTCACCATTGATGTGCTTTCTTTGCAGGTAGAATGAGTCTTCCATTTTGCATTTAATAGTCCTCCAGTTCAGATCTTTTTTAGCCAGAGTAGACATATGTTTTAGTTCAGTCATCAATTTGGTTTGGGAAGACTCCGTCTCACCACTTGGCAATGCTGGGCTCCAACTGTTGCACCCGTAAGATTCCTTGATAGCCGGTGCCTGGTTTTCCTTCCCAGTTTTGCTATTAACGGGTCGTCTGTCGTTGTCAAATTTGTTTTTCAGCTGATCTGCTAAACTATCGCTACCATGGTCACTGACAGGCACTGTATCTTTGAAGGATTTGGGATAGAGTTTAACAATACTTTCAGCAACAGTATTAAAATTAGCCCTTTCTAAATTTGGCACAACTTCTCTACAACGGTCCACTATTCGAGCGACCATTTCTTCTCGAGATCGGGGGTCAGCCCTCTTATTGGCTCTGATGGCTTCTCTAACTTTGCTCGGAAAATATGGGCTGTTGACATCAAATGTTGGCATTTTAGGGATCATCACTGAGTTGGCAACATCCATAAGGACTCCCCTACTCATTCCTGATCCGCCAGCTATCTGGTCTGTGTGGAAAACTCGACTCATTCCTGAGGGCCCAGCCATCTGCTGGTCTGCCTGCCCTTCCGTTTGTCGGGTTGTGGTGCTACTCTCACCAGCAGATCCTTCAGGAGAAAAAACAATTTCAGAAGTGACAGAATAAGATAAATTAAATAACTTCACTTATTAATAGTACAAACCATAAGCCTTTTGCCATTCCTCGAAGAGTTCTGATGAGTCAATCAAGTCAAGTTTTTCTTTAAGAATTGCCACTGTTATATGCCGTAAGTCTCTTCCTTTCTTTACTCCTTGACTTTTGAGAAAACTCAGCAAGCCGTCTACTTCATCAGGATTTAAATGTGGCAGAGTGTCGGAGACGCTTCCCTTCAATTCTTGGAAGAAATCCATGTCTGCAAAATGAAAAATAAATTTTGTTAACGGCCTGCATCCAAGTGCCAGTTGAAGGTTAGAGACTCGAAATCTTTTTCGGACCGTGCGCAGCAACGCTTAGGAGAAGAAAACTAACGAAAATCTAAAAACAACAGGACAAGAGCCGGTTAACAGCAAACCAGCTCAGAAATAGATTGACTATGGATGTAAGGCTGGACCCCCTCCGCAAGCACAGAGTCTTGATCCGAATTAAACGATTCGATATAGTAAGTCGGACCATGGTTGAAAACGATTGTGCGTGTAAATAAACTATAAAGTGCACCTACTGAGAAACAGAGATATAATAAATACACACTTTTCTGATTCGAAGTTCACAAAGACACAATCCGATTTCAAACTACTGGGGCACAGAGACAGCGATCACGTGAACCGTTACGATTTACCGCTCTTTACGTAGGGTACGTTCCCTATTCAATTTTCAAACCATCAAATGACCATCTGACCAAATTACAATTGTAAGTTTTGAACCATGTCTGCATGGATGAAATTATATTTCCGAAAAACAAAAATATTCTAGAAATTTAAAATTTGAGTTTCCTTACCTTTTTGCATTAAACAATCATCCCTGGCACTTTATTTTTTAACGACAGTGGCGCCATCGCGCCACGCTTCCACACACTAAACGGAAGTCAGTGAAGCTGCTGGCTGGGCTGTGCTTGCCTCGCTCGGTTCCATTGTGTTTCGGAGGGAAAGGATCTCATTTTTGTCATTTCTGCTCGTAAGCTTTTATTTTTGCATTGAGATTTGCTTAGACGTGTTTCAACTCTCCCAGTTCGTCATTTTGTGCTTGCGGTCAGTTCCTTGGGCATGGTTGTGCAAACAGCCTAACTTGTAAACAAAGTTGTCAAGCTCGCAACCACACTTGCAACCAATTATTTTATTTCTTCAATCCTTGAAGATCTTTGCAGTAGTCTCCGTTATTCGGCATCATTCTGTGTTGTAATTTTGACTTGCGTACTTGATTCCAGGCTTAATCCATCTGCTAGCCTCAATGTTTACTCGATCATTTCATGTCTTGCTTCCTTGACTTCTGTTCTGATTCAACATTCAAGGTATTACATTTGGGTGCAGTTTTCCATGTTTCAAACTGTGCACCTGTTTGTTGTGTCTGTTACATTTATCTTTAAATTAGATGCTGCTTTTTTTCTATATTTTGTTGATTTATTTCTAGGGAATGCAAGTAGATGTAATCCCATCGCCACCTACTCTGCAAAATCTCTTTTGGACTATCAAGGACTTATCGCCAGCCACAATGTTTACTCGATCGTGTCATGTCTTGCTTCTTCGACTTCTTTTTTTATGCAACATTCAAGGTATTACATTTGGATACAGTATTCCATGTTTCAATCAGTGCATCTATGTGCTTTTACATTTATCTATAAATTAGTTTTTTCTATATTTTGTTGATTTATTTCTAGGGAATGCATGTAGATTGTGATCACATCTCCACCTCTGCAAAATCTCTTTTGGACTATCAAGGACTTATCAAAGATTACTCCAGGTAATTACCAACACACTGATATTCATGTTTTTGTTTTTACCAAATTTTCCTCAGTTTAAGTTTTAAAATCTCTCAACAGGGTCATTACAAAATGGAAGTCTCCATTGATGTGTGGAGGTCAAGAGCAACCTGCAACTCTATAAGAAACTGTGCTCTAATAGACCTACTCAGCGTTTTGTCACCAGAGGCAATCATTAGCACCATTAGCACCATTCTTATTATCGGTGGAGTTGAACTCAACCCAGGACCATTTCCGTGCAATCTTTGCCCAATAGTTCCACAGACAGTGGCAAGCAGTATTCGACATCAGCATTCCCATGCAGAGAAGGATCCAAATTTCATGTACCAGTGCCCTGTCCTTGGTTGCGTCTTGGAAACTAAATCTTACAATGTTTTGGATAATCATGTGTCTACTTGCCATCGTCAAGAGCGCCATGTTGACCCAGAAGCAAATCATCGGTACCACTGTGAAATTGAGGCGGATGAGAAGATCTGTACTTTCTCATGTACGTCTTTGTGGGTTCATGTGCAGCATCTTTATCAACATCTTGAGTCTGGCACTGAGGTGACTTGCCCTTTGAGTGGATGTGACAGAGTGTTTAAGAAGAAAGGAACCTTTCAAGGGCACTTGTCCAGTTATCATCCTGGTTGGCGGGATGAGGGTGTTTCTAAGAAAGACACTGCAGACTTACCAGGAGTGAATGAAGCAATGGACTGTGACCTGCCCATTCCTACTGAAGGGCAAACAATTCAAGATCACAGTTCAACAGATAATATTGAAGAAGACCAAGAAAATTTGCAAGAGGACTGTAGTAGCAGTGATGAACACATCTTATTGAATGATGATTTATTTCTGGACACAATTGGTATATTTTATTTAGATTTGTATGCTGATAAAACTCTGGCCCAAGCTGTCATTCAGGGCATTTGTGGTCAAATATCAACTCTGACCCAAATTGCTCATGCCAGAATGAAAACAGTTTTAACAAAATCACTGCAAGATTTAGGACTTGAAGATGACCAAATTAATCTTATATCTAACAAAGTCCTTACTGCTGATTTGCTTCACTCAGCCCATCACAAAAATATGCCAGGTCCATCAATGACAAGTCATTACCTCAGGAAAAGATACTTTGAGAAGAGATTCCACTTTTTTGAACCTACAGAAGTTCCTCTTGATCCAGAAGATCCAGACAGTGACAAAAAACTACAATTTGTTTCTATTAAGAGAAGTCTGTCTGTTCTACTTAATGATCCTTCTATTGTGAAAGAAGTTAAAGCATCATTTTCCAGGCCAGCTGATGACAACACTGTATCTGACTACCAGGATGGTTCTCTTTTTAAATCTGAAAATCATCCTCAGAAAGAAATTCAGCTACTGCTCTATCAAGATTCTTATAACCCTGCATTAAATGTTTTGGGCTCTGCAAAAAATAAGTATAAACAACTTGTTATGTATTTCACAATTGGAAATCTGAAGCCATATCTTCGATCGAAGATTAAATCCAAACATCTTGTTCTCATTTGTCGAGAATCAATATTTAAAGCTGTTGGCAGTGCTAAATGTCTTGAAAAAGTCATGGTTGATCTCAAAGATTTAGAGCAAGATGGTGTCATGTTTCAAGAAGAAAACATTAAAGTTGTTGTCGAATTTATGTTGGGCGACAGTCTTGGTCAGCACCTCATCGGAGGCTTTATCGAATCATTTTCAGGAAGGTATTTTTGTCGGTTTTGTCCTATTAAAGGGATTGAATTTCGAGCTGACCCAACATTGGTAAAACCACAAAGAACCATTGAAGAATACAATGCTTGTGTCTTGAAAGCTAAACTTACTGGAGAAAATTCAAAAGGAATCAAGAGTGGTTGTGAGCTCAATGTATTGAAATATTTTCATGCAGTAAGTCATCTTCCTCCCTGCAAAGGACATGACTTGGATGAAGGATGCATTTCATGGGATTTAGCTGGCATTATTGCCAGATTTGTAGACAAGAAATGGTTTACATATGATTTGTTTAATGACAGAATCAGGAATTTTACATGCAAAGGGATTGATAGTACTAACAAGCCAGCAGCTGTAAACAAGAATGGCAAAAAGCTTGGAGGACATGCAGTCCAGAACTGGACCTTGCTGAGGTAATGATTCAACCATCTAAATTTTTAAATTATCCTTAATATTTTTGTTTGAACTATGAATTTAACTGTTCTAATACGCTATGAATGTGTTAACATATTTTTATTTTATATTGCAGACTCTTTCCCATAATTATTGGGGACCTGATTCAAGACTTTGAAGACCCAGGGTGGCAGCTGTACCTACAGCTCAAGGAAATCAGTGAGCATGTTAGCGTCCCATTTTACAAGAAGCGTGAAATTCCATACATTAGGGATGTTCTTCTGCCTGCCTATTTCCTTTTGAGAGCGGAAGTGCTGTGCCAAATTATTTGCAACCTGAGGCCCAAACACCACTTCCTCTGTCATTACTGGTAAAGCCCATTATTCTCTTTTTTGGTTTTCCCTACCTTATTTTGATGAACACTTGTCTTATGTATTATATTGGCCTTTCAGTGATCTTCTCCTCAAGTATGGACCACTGCTGTTTTTATGGACTATGCCTTTTGAACAGGCTCACAAATTCTTCAAAGATGTAATGCGCCATGGAAAGAACTTTATAAACCCTGAGTTCACCTGTGCTGAGAGGTACCAAATGAAATTTGCGTACGACACCTTGAAGCCTCTGTTTGAAGATGTCCTCTCAGTGACAAAACCAAAGGAGCTATCTATTGCCTCATTCTCTGGCAGATTGGCACTGTTCCTATCCAGTCTGAATCTTACTGGCTGGCATGTCTCCCCATGCATCAGTATAAACCATGGCATTACCTATCAGAAAAGAGATGTTCTTCTGTTCTCAAAAGAGGGGAACTGTATGACAATTGGCGTCTTAGAAGTTATTGCATTCAAAGAAAAAGATGTCGTATTTATTCTGGAGAACAAAAAGGCTATGTATAACCCAATCCTTGGAATATATGAAATCAGCATGGATCATGTTGGAGATTACATGAGCGTCTCACCAGGTGCATTGGTTTATCCTGTACCTCAACCAATTTATCTCATGAGGGGTAAAAGTGTGTTCAGCTTGAAGCACAAAATCAGTGATGTAACTGATTCTTAGGTGTTAACCTCTTGTGCATAGTAAGTTGGTGATTCTAATTTTATCTTAAATAGGACTCTTTTATATAGCCCAAATAGAGAAATGTACTTTAAATTTGGTGTTCCACTAGTGATAAGGTTTGAGAGCTATTTAGTATTTGAAGTTAAAAACAATGTATTTTCCCCTATAATTTATATTAAATCTTAAGTGAGACACCATTAATAATTTAATATGATTATGATTTTTCTCAAACTAAATTTTTAAACTCAAGCAACTGCCAAGCAATATTGTAACAATACATCAAAATAAATAAATACAATGTCTTGGTGAAAAGAAAGATACACAGAGGTCAGTTTCACTATAAACTCTATTTCACTTGTTGCAGGAAGAATATGCTGAAGCTAGACATGCACGAGCAAAGCCAAATCAAGGAAGCAACAGGGTAGACAGTGCAGTGAGGAAAGTCCACCACTCCGCCTATGCAGTATCTGAAACAGATGGAATTACTTTCTAAGCAATATGGAAGTGCTATTGATAAGAATCTGTACTAAGTTTTTTAATGATTTTTGAAAAAATACATTTAGAGGTATTTATTTTGATGTTTTTGATTTTCATGTCCGTACTGAGAAAAATAGCATTCCATACAAATTATTTATTTAGGTTCTGATATGTAAGCCAGCAATAGTATTATTAACTTGTAAGCAGCTTGCGGTTGCAAGCAGTCAACGTGTGGTCTGAGACCAGACAGCACCAGAAACTTTCACCACAAACGGCAATTGCAACACGAATAGTAGAAAGGAGTGAGAATGCAACTCGATGCTGATGTTTATCAGATTGAGGAAATGTACTGAAAGTATTTCTTTCATATACAAATACTTAAACATCAACCCAGAAAAAGAAATAAAACTATTAAGAAGTTTTCAAATAATAAGTTAGGATTTTAAAAGTTACAATTTTACCTTTACATCAATACTTGAAGCAGAAAGGATAAGCAGCAAAGTTGTAACGCAGGCAGGTTAAGTGCAGACACCAGGAAGCAGCTTAATGAACTATCAGCAGAGTGCGAGCAGCTATGCATTCCTATCAACACCTGGACCTGGAACATAAATCATATTCTAAGTGACACTGAAACACAAACCAGTTACATAAGTCCTGTCATTCAGATTCCCACTGGTTCACACACTTCTGCCTCCAGCAAGGCTATGACGAAGCCAGCACTACGAGCACAACAAATACAAACACACTAAACGAATGCCTGCTTTGATCAGTGCGTATAAAAGGGTTGGGGTTATGGTGCAGGTAAGTTGTGAATCAAACAGCAGATCAAAACGAAACAGCAATCAAAGGCTCAAGCTGAAAAATAAGATCACATTTTCTGAAGTATGATACGCGAATTGAGTGACATTTAGGGATAATATTTTTGCCTGTCACAAGTCACAATGTAAACAAAGTCTGCGTCTGCTACAGGGAGCTCACGAATGAACTCGCTCGACAGGAAAACTCCGAGCCATTCGTTACGTTTCCAACGTTCTACATCGCAGGACACTCTTCAAAATTTATTCTGAAGGGATTAATTCGTATGAGAGAACCGGCAATGAAGTTAAAATCACTAAAGTCGCTGCACTGGGGAGCAGACTGGTTTGCAAGAAGGGAAAGGGGAGTGGCGGGGGTAAAAAACACTAAGTCGGTGGGTATCCGGAAGTTCACAGCCTTCTAGATCCACACAACACAAAACACGTTCCGTGTAATTTGTCATACACTACAATCAAAAGTGGGGTGGGTTTAACGAAAAGGCCAATGTTTTGAATGTAGTCAAACAAACCCTCGCGTTGGCTGTGTTGTTTAATGGTTATCGTGTTGAGTATCATTATCTGGGGATTACTGCCTCACATTAAGTGAAATCCATGACGATTTCTTCATGATTAGTGTTGATGTCTTTCTCGGGATATCATTAGTTTGTTCCTGCACCTGTCTCCTAAGCAACTAGTTGCTTGAGCTCAGCACAACCAAGATGACTTAATCAAACAATCCGAGGGGTGATCCCCTGTAAAATTTTGTGTACAAAGATTGTGTGAATGTGCAAGAATGTGCAAGATTTCTGGCGTTATTGTCACACATGTTGCCTACTTACAGGCGTTTTCCCCACCTGAATGTGGGAATGTGGTCAAAATTTTTACAATGAATGTGGGAAACTGTTCCCCCCTCGAAACAATCCCTATCCGGCTTTTCGTGTGAGTACTTTTAACTCTTTCTAACCTAACCAGGCTAGTTGGATCAAACTGTGAAACAAGTAGTGTTTGATGTAACTGTCAAGCTTTAATTAACCCCCTATGTCATTTTCTGGGGCACAGCAAGTCCTTCTGCAGCAGTAACTCTGCCCCAGTAAACTATTGGTTTGTCTTTTCTACTCTAAGAATAGTAGCGTTTAACATACTCTGGTGTTAACAAGAACTTCCCTTAATTTATTTTTTAAAACTAGTATCTGGTATTTTCAGTATGAGGTGAGAAATATCATTTCAAAACGAAAAATGTTGTTTCAAAATGAGAAATGTCGTTTCAAAACGAGAAATGTCATCTCAAAACAAAATTGTCGTAGTTGTAAAGTTATAACAGTTTGGTTAACTTTTTGACGGCAGTTTTGCTTTGAAACTGGAAGTGTTGTTTTAAAACGATAAAACTCGTAGTTTTGGATGGGTGCTTTGTGCAACAACTCTATTCGTTGGAAAACAAAAGTATCGTTTCAGTACAACATAGCATTAGTTTTGGATCCAAAGGAAAATAATTGTGCTCGAGCAAGAATGTCGTTTCAAAACAAGTTTGTTGTCATTCGAAGAATATCTCGTCCCAAACCATTACGACAAAGTTGTCAATTGACAATCATGTTGTTGGAAAATTTGTCGTAACTGAACGACTTTT